TATGTAAGTATACATGTAAATACTGTACATGTATATATATATATGTATATATATATATATATATATATATATATATATATATATATATATATATATATATATATATATATATATATATATATATATATATAAACGTAAATGTATGCATATATAAATATAAATATAAATATAATATATATATATATATATATATATATATATATATATATATATATATATATATATATATATATATATATATATACGCAAATATATATACATATAAATACATATATATATATACTGAGAAAATATTCACGAGGGAACCTTCTTGTATGGACTTTACAAGGTTTGACAAGACAGCACAAGCATGAGGGTGGTGGAACTGCTATCATCAGTTAACTCAAGTTCTGTTGTGTGATCTAGAGGTGTTCTGCATTAGTGTTGCCTCGCGAATATCTTATCACTGCCCTGTAAGGAAGGTCCTGTAGCTCGGCTCCGGGAGAGAGCGCAGCTGGGTCGGCCTTGCGCTTCCCTCTCGCACTTTGAGCTGCTCGACTGCGCCGACCATTTGACTGCCTCTCATACCTCTTGAATATGCATTGTTCGGTGTTGCATTTTTACTGCAGTTATCTAAAGGGTTTTTATAGTGAACAGCATTTGTCATTACCTGGATTACATCTTTGTAAATAATGTCTGACGGTCTCTTTTTTCTAATAGTATTAATATAAAAATCAATGGAGTAACTGTTAAGCAATGAAGTGTTCAAAAGTACAACGCAACTAATGTCACGTAAAAAAGAAGGAAATTTTCTAAGATTTGTGCTGCCTTTTTAAAATGCTGTTTAATATATTTTCTCTTTTTAAGGAACGACACATCGCCTCAGCTGCCCCGAATGACAGCATGGCGTAGTCTTGACTGTCTAGTCGCATCTCCTTTGTGTCATGAGTCTACTGTCCTTCTGTGTTGGATATTGTCTCATCTCTTCCACGTCTGTCTTATTTTCTTTTCTTTGCACACGCTCTCTCACATCCAGATATTCATCTTTGTCTCATGTCTTCATTTTGCACTTTACGTCCTTTCATCCACCTCTCTGCCGCCCGTCATCTCCTCCTCATTCGCTTTCTCACACTCCACTCCTTGCTCCTGCTCCTCCTTCCCCACCAAACGCGGTCTAACCGAAGTCCCTCCAAGCTTAGTCCTTCCCCAGGATCGCCTTCCTGAACACATACATGGAGGTGCCATATTTAGTTCGCATGTGTCCCTCCATTGACATTCCCTCCCTGCAAGTCCCTCCAAGCAACTTAGGTTCTGTTTAACAGCCGGAATTTCATCACAGATTCAGTACAGATGGAATGCTTATTGCAAGTGCAAATCTCGTTGATTTCTTTATTCCTTTGCCAACATGCAGACTCTATTTGCAAAGGACCATTTCGCTGGATATTTATGTATTTGCCTATTTATGGGTACATAAATTTCCACAGCTACACTCACTGACTGGAACAGTTTCCTTATGAAATCCTGAACCTTTACCAGCTTCGACAGTCCCCTCCTGCAAAACCTTCAACTGTACCCGTTCTTTTACACACCCTCGTCGTACTTTACGTACATCTTACGTGGATGAATTCTAAACACACCTCATCATTCCCCATCATCTCCCCTAATCACCGCATTCATAACCTCATCCCAATCCCTCGACATCACGCACCCTAATCACTCACTCTCGTTTTGTTGGGTAACCCAGGGAGGTGCGAGATCGCTGAAGACACTGTTGCCCAAGTCGCACTGGGGCGTTATTCGGGGCAGAGAGAGACCCGCTTTGTTGCGTGTAGGGATGCGGCCAGAGACCTGTTTAGGGAGAGTGGGTCCACATACAACTTGGTCATCCTAGTATTTACCTAGTAAGGCAAATGGTAGCCAATTTGGAGGTTCATTTATGTTCTGTTGTTCACTTGTAATTGGTTGGTATCATCTTTTAGCCATCAGTCTCTAACAGGAATAGCAAGCAGTGTTGTTCGAAATTTCCAGTCTTTGTGATGGCTACAGTAGTTGTTTAGTCTCAGTTGTTTTTGTTGTGGAGATGCTTGGGAGGGGTAATACATCAGCCAGGTAATAACTATGCAACAAAGCTGATTTTCAAAACATGTTTGCTTGTCTGTATCCATTGCCATCAGTATTGCCAGTATCACAAGAGTGTTCGTACGGGAGATCCAGCACCGCCAGGGTTACCATCTGACTATGATCACCAACTTCCGAGTAGAACTTGTGTGAGTATACTTGTATGCCCCGACTGACCGAGGTAGAACCCTCATTAGCTAAGGCGAATTTAATGCAAAAGCAAACTGTATTGGCAGCTGTATTTCGCTTTGAAAATCTGCCCTATTGGTGTCTCCTAAATATTTTACTTATGCAGGTTCCGTGTTCAACGACTGCATACATCAGCTGCACAGGCCAGTTTGTAGTGACAACAGTCACCACTAGCCCAGTAGTCCTTAGTTCATTCCCAAGCGGCAAATTCTGTACAGATTATTGCTAGCTGTTTAGCTAGAAACATTTATCAATATCTATCCCTCCTAACCAGCTTAGAGAACCTGCAACTAGTTCAGTAGATAATTTGATCAACCCCACAACTAGAGCTGTGGACAAAGTTTTAAACCCCGTTACCAGTGCTGTAGATTTTTTGAAGATCCCCACATTCAGTACTGTAAATATTTTCAATAAGCCTACAAACACTCTTGTAGATTACTTGGTAAGCCCACTACTAGTAGAAATTTGAAAGTACTTAACAAACTTACAGACAGGTAACTTGCAGAAACCAGTATACTATGCATTTTGATATAGACTTTCCTTAAGGCAGTGAGGATTACATATGTGTGGATTACAAAGCAATTGGTCACATGGTTATCATTTTCTTAATATTATCAACAGCAAAAGATGAGCTAGCTATGGTCTATATATTTTCAGCTGCTCTTTTTCTCACCTTTCTTAATATAAAACACAGACACAAAATATAGAAAACAACAATATC